ATGTGATCAACTGCATACATTATTAAACACGTGCGTCTCTCTCTCTCTCTCTCTCTCTCTCTCTTTAATGTTCCAGTGAAATAATGTTCTCCAGCCTCTCTGGAATGATGTACAAGAATACAGTGCTGGTGCAACTGTTCAAGGGGCACCCAAAAACCTCGGTTGTTATTCTACTTAAATGTATTACCACTGCAGAGGAAGAAAAAAATCCCCTTTATGTCCCACCCTCTTGAGAACTTCAGTGCTCCCCACTTCCCAATGGTATTCCTGTTTCTTTTGCTCATCCTGCATCAGTCTCGCTCAAAACCTTGTGACTACCTCCCTGCTCTTTTCTTCAGCTACCAATTAATTTCTTTTTTCTAATCCTTTCCTCTAATGCACAAAGTTCAAATTTAGAATTTTCCTTCCTTTTCTTACTAAAGCCGCTGCTGTTTCTGTCAATGGCAGTGAAAACTGCCATAGTCAATTTCCCACCTTGGTGTTTTCTCTATTTTCTAATTAATGGCTGATCAAGAATACCTTTTGGTCTTAGTTCCACCTTTGCCTGAAACTTTTATAACCCCAGATAACATAAGCCTCGGAGGAGTGCTCACATCTAATTCCAACAAGGTGCTCAATACTTCAGCAAAAATATTAAAAAGTAATACCATTGAAGTAACAATTCAAACATTTCACTCTGTTGCATGTATCTAACAACTTTCCAACTAAAAAGACCCAACAAAAGACAAGTATAAGTGCAAGCTTCTAATAAATCACATCCAAATTAATCCAGGATACTATGAAGAACAAATAAATCTGTTTTCAAAGCCTGTGTGAAATCAGAAGCCACACAAGTTAAAAAAAAAAAAAAATTATTATGAATTTTGACATTATTATTTGAAAGCTTAAGATAACAAAGTTTTAAAATATGTAACAGCCAGGAATTCTACATTAAATAAATTTTTACATTAAGCATGTGAGGGGAACACCCTTTATACTATTTGACCCCCTATTTGAAAGAGATTTTGTGAATTTACCTGTGCTTTTCATGCTAATGGTAATGTTTCCTTAACAGCTTCTGTTTGTTTTCAATAGCCATTATTAATTCATTCCTGAGTTAGTACACGGTTTGTAAATTATAACTTAAATAATAAGAATGGACTTACCCTTAAGGACTCCTGGAACGAGGAGGCCTGGTACTGTGCATATTTAGCAATTGTTGTATGAGATCTACTGCTTTCACAACGCCAGATTTTCTTTGTTCCAGTGGGGTCCCAGTTTTCATCTGCTGGCTGCAGTAGTTGTGTCCTTACTTCTACTATGTGTTCATTATTTGCTTCTACCAATGTCTTAGTAGAGAAGAGTCCTAGATCTAATAAATAGAAATAAAATTTAAATTACAGTTAAAATATAACATGAAGTTTCAGGAAAACCCATAAAGTAATCTAAAGCTTTAAAATAAAGCAGCCCTCCCCTCCCTTCAGCCTCCAGAACACAACCCACCTGTAGGTTAATAATTAACACATGATTAACACTCAAAAAGCTTTTGTGCACACAACAGTAGAAGCTTAGAGAAAACTTGGCAGCTACCGTATGGACTATATTCCAAGAAGCATTTTACATGCTTTATGTAAACAAATCCACAATCAGTGTTTATATCTATTATCAAAACAGTATTTTTCAGACCAGTGTTTTATGAATGCACTTCCATTATGTAACACGTTTCCTACCAGCAATGATTTTTCCTACCAGCAATGACAGATTTTCTGTCTATAGAGTTCAAAACATTGTACACAGTCAGATTATAGATCAATAAATACAAGCACAAAGACAAGTAGCCACAGTTTTCATGGGGAAAAAAGTCTGTAAGCTTCCATATCCACAGCTCAGCTCCTCTCTGCTCTACAAAATCTGATGGGACTTTTTGCCTTTCTTTGGGAGATTATCACGGTTAATAACAGTAGCAAACTAAGAAATGACACATTACCCTAATTACTTGGAATACACAAGTAATACAGTATTACAGAAATAAAATCTCCACTTTTAAGAACCGGGACACTTCTTTAAAAAAAAACTCATACCTTTTTTTTTTTCCAAAGTAAAAAAAAACATATAAAATAAACTTACCTAATTTAAGCGCTCCAGCAAGGCCACGTATTACAGTAACAGGGTTGTTTGGATTTGTACAAAATTGATGTAAAGGTGGAAAGAAAGCATCTCGTTTATTTTCCAACTGTAAAATTATAATGGAATAATAGATGTCAGATGAATTTAGATCCCTTATTTGTAAAATAAGAAATCATTATTTAAGAAAAAAAAAAAAAAAATCAACAGAAAGAAGACGGGAATTTTCTCCATTTCCCTGTGCTGTAGGGAATGAACAGCTACGTGATACAACCCTTTCCACATTAAAAGCTAGGTTCACTCCTGAAAATATCTTTGTTACTGTAATTTATTTCTTGCCATGAATTATTGCCAGGTTGCTTTGGCTTTTGCAACTCGGGTTTCCTGTAGTTTATTTCTTTACTTCACAAGTAGCCTTGTATATTCCCTAAATCTACATAATTCTCTGAAGAGCAAGATAATATACTAGCTTTCTTTTCAGAACTCATAAAAGCTAGTTCTACAGACAAAGTATGAGATACAGTATAATTAAAAAGACTACTCTCATGGTGTATCTTGTGGTGACCAGAAAGCTTGATTTGATTTTCCTATGTTTTTGTGCAACTTTGACCTCAATTTTCCCCATTTTTTCTTTTTTTTTTTTGAGTTGTTGTGAATCTTTCAAAATGCTCAAGTCATCTGTTTCAATAACCAAAACACAATTCATAGTTCCCAAATACTGGGAACCACACTGGCACATTGAACAGTATGCTGAAGCATGGTGACTTACCAGCTTTGTATGGACCCAACAAAACTGTGCTCAACTTTTAATAAGGTAGATTAATTCAGATGCAACACTTGCAGAACAGTTGGAAGCACGACTGCTTCCAACTTCATCTAGCTCTTGAGCAGACTGCTTGTGTAGTATCAAACCAACGTGCCAATCGCTTCTGGTCCCCAAGTTGAGCTGACCAAAGCTACCTTGAGGTTTTCACACTGGCTGTACAGACACACTAATTTATTCTTCTGTCATCAAGGAATTTGGCATCCCATAATTTATTCTTCTATTCCTAAGGAAGTTAGCTCAAACTCTTCATAAAGTTATTATGAATATTTTCAGAATCTAAGTTCTAATGCTTGCATAAGAAAATACTATGCAACTTAAATCTGCCTCTTTCTAATAACATTTTGTCCTTAACATCACTTTAGCTTTCAGTAATTTTTTCTTTACTATATTTTGTGGCAGATTATTAGGAGAGTTTAGTTTAATTACTTGCTCATTTATACCTAAACTGTCACTTGCAAGAACTGTACGTACGTATTTGAAATACTGTGCATTGTATTTAATTAACTGTTTTGCATATTCTGCCAGTATTTTGAGTATGAAAAATAAACAAAAAAACCTGAAGCTGCTTTTCCTCTTCTTTACTGAAATTCTTAATTTACAAGTATTTTCAGAGTCAAATTATGTCTCAAAATTTTCTTTAAGGTTAGCATTTTTCCTGCTCATATACTAGTTGGGAAAGTACTGTAATTAGAATTCAGCTATGCGTAGTGCATCTTTACAATAATTACATTATGTAATTCAAATACCCAAACAATTGTAAAGGACAGTCAACATACTTCTACCACTAGGTTTACTTACATAAATACTAGGTGTAGGTGGATTCAGCTTGTCCTTTGGCAAGGGAGGGTACGGTGGAGGCGGTGGTCGTGGAGGTGGGCATTTATCCAACAGAATACTGCTGTTAGATAAACCATTTTTACCCAGATTCCTAAAAGGAAAGAAAAGCTGCCTCTGTCAATACTTGACAAATAAAATAAATACGTATTAGTATCGTCTCTTCTGCAAAATAATTATGTAGAAGGAGAAACAAGAATTCAAGATGCAAACAAAGCTCATATACCTTAATCAAGGACTCTCAGTGTATCATCTGATATTATTCAAAATAATTCTCACTTTGCCTGCCAGATCCGCAGTGTCACCGCTATTAGTTAACAATATAGCCACTTCAAATCAAACAGGACTCATCTGACAAAATGTAACCGAGACAGCAGGTTTCAGGCAGGAACAGAGAAGAAGCTTTTAGGCTGGCAGTGGCTGGTAGATGGTCAGTTCCCAGCAGCCGAGGTGACGCCGCCGGCGATGCCACGCACAGCAGCAGAGCAGAGCACCGAGTCCGAAAACGGCAGCCCCTCGGCCAAAAAACCACCGAATCACAGAAACCAACCACACCTACACTGAAGATTCTCAATCCAACATCCACCTACCCTTCCCCGATTCAGACATTTGAAGCCAGGAACCACTGCTGCGTAATCCATTTGTCTGAGCAACGGAGAAAAGGACCTACCCTGGGCGAGCTGCTGGGTTAACACCTGTACACGTACTTGAGTGAGAACCTCAGTTCGTATTTGCAGCTTTTCTCTGGAGATTTCTGGATGTGGATAAGCCACCATATGTGTGTGCTAACTTTTCCTGCAATTATGTGAAAAATCTGCATTCTGAGCTTAGTCCATAATCAATTTCCAATCACTATCACCAAGAAAGTGTTTATTAACAAATCCACCCCTCAAATTTTTCATTAAAAATTACTCAACTACTTCAAAATTCTTCCGACAATAAACACTATCCAAATTCTTCTTCCAACCTCACTTGATTCATCAGCTGTTGATACCACCTTACAGCATGCCACAAAAGGGGATGTTTCCGAGGCATGATTTAGTCATGTATATTAACAAACCTCAATATTAGAAATAAGTTGTTCTGGTAACAACAGTCTTCAACAGAAAACACAGCTGACTTCTACTAGACCGACTTTTACTTGCAGCAATAGAGCTTATCTCTAAAGCACAGAAACTGTGACACTGGCACTGAGAAACATCACAGGTCTGGGAACAGTGACATGTGAGAGCACCAATTCAAATCAAGCTACCACAAAACACAAATAAGATGGACTTGGGGCTTGAGATCAGATCAGACTGACTGTTATGACAAACACTTTAAAGAAAATGAGCAAACATTTCACATACCCTAGGGTGCAGCAAAGATGAGCATCCTGAGAAACTGGTGCTCATCACAACAAATAAGTCAGTCATTCAGTTCAGAACTTATGCCAGCTAATTCATACATTGCTCCCCTCTGACCGAAGATCAGAGCAATACAGACACATATTCAACTATCTCCAAAGCATGCCTGTCAAAAGACCAAACACACCTTATTCCTTGTGCTAGGTGAGGCTAACGCCAGAACAGATTGCAACTTCAAAAAAAACTGAAAGAGCAACACAGAAGCTTTGATTAGTCATCATCCAATTTGACAAAAAACTCACTGACCAAACGCCTAATGTCTGAGGTAGTTCTTGCAAATACCCTACTACACCCCCCCCCCCCAAAACATAGCTATAGAAAATCATCATCACCCAAAGAAATTTATTGACCATATATCAACCATAGTTGCATTAATTTGAGATTCAGATCCATCTATACAAAGTGAAACTACAATGTGAATAGCAGGTATTGAAAATAACTATAATCATCCCATTACCAAACTGGAAAATAAAAACAAGAAAAGCAAATAAATAGTATTAAAAATCAAAGAGAACTTTGACAAATTCAGTTGGCACTGATAAACAGTTCTCGGGAAATTTCTGAGGCAAGGAAGAGCAGAAAGACTGAACCTAAAGAAAAAGGTACATTGCTCAGAACTAGCTTGACTTAAGCTACTGTAGTCACAAGACAATTGCCACAGTGGAAGCTCAGTATATCCAGGGTACCTGGGGTCTCGAGGGAAGGTGGACAATGGAGAAAGGAGAAACTGCTTAGAGAAACTACAAGTCTGAAAAGGCAAGGGAGATAGAGAAGAAAGCAGACAGTACAGAGGAAAAGATCAGATGAACAGTAAGATCTCATAAACCCAGTAGCTGATGCTGATACTACCAAGTCTATGCCACAGTTTCGTATTAAGTTACTAAAACCCTATGTCAAAATTTCAAGAGAGGGAAGGGGCCAAAGAAAAGCAAAGCTCAGATACAAAAATGCTCATAATTCAAGTGGCACAGGAAACAGATGGGTAGAATATTTAAGGTTGTCTTTAATAGACTAGTTTCACTCTACCGTCTTTAATTTTTAACTACGAATCAGAATAACTTACTATTAATAACAATGCAAGGGATCTATTAAAGAGTAGCACTCTCATTGATAGTGTGCAAAACAGAGCAACAGAAGTAAAAACCACCACTGAAGTACTAAAAAGATTTGTTACCAGCACCTGAAATGGTGTGAGGATCCACTGCCAGCCCCTCCATCTCTGGAAATACTGAATTATGGCCAGCGCAAGGAAAGTGAAAAATCCTTTTTGACCACAGCAACCGTGAGGAAAGTTTCACACATCTCTGTTTCAGAAGGGAACTTTTTGTGACAGGATTTCATACTGGCTGAAAGAGTCAACAAATGCAATGCTCAAGGGAAAAAAGCAAGTCTAATTTAGGCCTCAAAAGGAACCTGGATGCTCAGTCAGCTACAACACTATGATGGAGGAATGAAAAGGCAGCAGGCTTCATTCATTTTAACTGACTTTCCAGAGTCTTTTTCCAGGCTTTTCACAGACTGCACAGGCAGGAGAAAACCCTTCATTCCTGCGAAGTGGGAAGAGCAGGCAGGAGCAGCTGCCAGCCTCAGAAAGGTAGACAGTAGTTACTACTGATGTGCAGCAGTGTCCTGAGCAAACCTGCAGCTCTTGGTCCAGTGCCGTTTGCTCAACAGGTTAAAGCAACAACAGTTCATGCAACTGCTTTACCCTGAGGACCAAACTCAAAACTGCCATGCTTACGAGTGTCACCCACCACTATGGATGAAATAGGTGCCTGGAATTTGTGTAGTTAAGGGATCTCTTGAATAATCAATAACCAGATTCATTAAAACACCCTTTTTCCACCTCCATTTTATTGCTTCTAGGATACATTACCATATCTTCTAAAAAGAGTTTAGTCTACAGTCTAGTTTACAGACTTCAATCTTAGAGAACAACTCCCCCACTGGCTGTACAGTTAACCAGAAGCAGAGGTGTGACTCTGTTTGCTTTCCCAACCTGTCCTCTTCACTATATAGCACTCACTTCCCAGCCTGTGCTTTTAGCAAATATTAAGACAAATAATTTAATATTATCAAGGGATTTCTTGACAAATAGAGACTGGCAGATTAGCCTGACTTGATGCCGTCATCTGTCTGCCAAACTGCTTCCCTTGAATTTACTATTTTCACTGCATGGACAATCCAGTAGCTTGTTGCTTCTGTCCCATGGGAAGATGGATTCCAGCTGCTCTAGCCTTAAAGACTCCTCTGTTGGAGCCCTACTTCACTATCAAAACCTAAACAAAACAAGACCAAAATCTGATCCCAAGGCAATATCTCTGAAACGTTTAAAATGTCATGAAGCTAATACACTTCATAGTTACTATATTGACTATGCATCATCCTAGTTGACTAAAAAAGGTATCATCCAAGTTTAAAGCCAGCTGCATTACACAGCTGTGTTAATTCTAATTCTATTTTATTGTACAAACTCTCAACTACATCAAGAACATTAAATTTAAGATGATAAAACTTATTTTCCAAGAACTGGGAATCATTACTATTAATTACTATCCTTTACATTCATTAAATTAATCACCTCAATAATTTTATTATTTCACTCAAGCCTAATGTGAAATTTAGAGGATTATGTCTATTTCTCAAAAAGTAGTTCTGTAGTGCTTTACAAGTCCTCTGGAACTGTCTCTGTTTCCTAAGAACTATAAAAAAAAACAACCTGTGTGAATGAGAACAATTCATTGATCTGCCCTTCCAGAGCTCAGGGAAATATATTATCTGAGCCTCTGACTTAAAAATGCTAAATTTAGGTATAACTACTATTTAACCTTCTCCTTGATTATTGCAAAACCAGAGTGTTTGTTATCCTACATACTGTGATGTGAACTTCCTACCTGCCTTTTTCCTAAGCACAGGACAAAAATATTTACTGAACTCTCTTGCCTTTACTGACTAGCTCTGTGCAGTCACCAAGCACTAGTGTTTGTGAAATGTTTCCCATTTTTCATTCTTGACTATAGATTTCCTCTTCCAAACTTGATTTCTGAGATTTTTACAACTTCTGAAAATATTTGCCTTTTTTGTTTTTATTTGGGAGATTATGACAGCGAAAATTCCTAAACAACTTCCAGTTATCTATACATTTGGATTTTAGGTACACCTTACAGGCCAAAACAGAATAAGTTACAAGCATTTGCACTGAACGAGTTATTTCTGTTGTGAAGTCACGCTAAGTGAATTGTTATTTGAGGATTAGCTGCATGAGAATTAACAAGGTTTTACCGCTTAAGAGATTATAGTCATTCTGAAGAAGAAAATTAATGCTCTCTCTTCCCCAAATAAAAATCACATTTAACATGAACATAAGGAACAGTGGATTTATGTGATACTCTATCTCAAATCTATTGGAACTAATTAACCTACAAAGAAGAATAAACAAAACATTTTAAAAATTGTGCCTGCAGAAGCAATCACTTGAAGCACTGGGATGAACTGTACTTACTCGACCCAGTCCAGACTCAAAACAGAAATACCCAGCCTTTCTTAACAGCTAGTGGATACAATTAATTGCTTTCATACTGCAGTTATTGCAAAAAACACAGAAAAACATCAACACCCAGCAGCCCGGGACAAAGGCGGTTACAACACCTAACTTGTGCTCTCTGATGCTCAGCTCCCCAGGCTGCTT